AGAGAATACCTGTTGGTTTTTTTCCCATCAAGATGATTTGGACTCAGAGTTCTGTTTTACTCACTGAAATTATCTGTTCCCCGGGAGATGGAGAAAATCCTTAACTTGTTAAGGCACTCAGTGGATTAGGTGTGGGCATTTCTCTGGTTTCTAAAATCCCTTCAAATCATCAGAAATTAACTTTATTGCCAAAAGCAGGTGTTTCTACAATTTCCTGTAGACCTAATCCGCTGAAACATGGGGCTTTTTCTGGCTGGAAACTTGAGTTATGAAAATAAAGCTTGTGCTTAGGAAGGGGAGGAGAGGCACTACCTCACCCTCTCATCATTTCCTACACTTGATTTAGCTAAAACAGCTGGAGAAAAATCCCACTCCCAATTTAAAGGTGTGGTTTTAGTTTGTCCTGAACCACAGAATTCAAGAATGGGTTGGAAGAGACCTTAAAGATCATTTAGTTCCAACCCCTTTCATGGTCTGCAGAAGCTCAGCTACAATATAGATGAAATGGTCTCAAAAGTTAACTGAGTGTAAAATAAAGAAACACAGATCCATTGCAGACATTTGTGTTAAAAAAAATAAAGATATATTTTATGTGCTCCTGTTACTTTAAGAAAGGTATTTATTGTCCATTTTGACACAGTGGTTTTGTTTAATCACATCCAAAATGACAGGAAAATCCTATTGATCCATAAAATTACAAATAATATTTTAGCATTCTTTTGCCATACTGTTAAATTTTAATATATATTAAAAATTGGTGGCATTTGAAGCAAAATATGGTGGAAATAAACATTCCAGTCATTTTATTTATGTCACAAAATATGAACACAATGTATTTTTATTTGCAGCTAAACAACATTATGTTCTGTGAGCCCAAAAATCATGAAATATTCATAGAAATGGCAATTCTTTTTTTTTTTTTTTTAAGCTCTTTGGATATAGGATTTTCATAGTGTGCCATAAAACAATTTCCACTGACCAAAAACTTCCCCATCATGATGACAAATTTTGCAGTGGGCAGGATCTGATGAAAAGCTTTGTCCTTTAGGGACAATGGCAGAACTGAAGAGTACTGTATTAACATCTTAATTTGGAAATAGCAGAGCACAATTGAAGCCAGACAGTGCTGGTGTAAATGTGATTGTGTCTCTTGCTATCAAAGCTGAGCTCAGTTTCAGTTTCCAGAGCTCTCCCTGAGCAGCAGGGAACAGCAGAATCATCATTAAAGGATGTTCCAGGCTTGTTCCCAGCCCATCACACACAGACAGTGACATCTCCCTTCTCCTGCAGGCACCACAGCACATCTGGGATCTTGCATGGAAGGATTTCAGCTACAAATTGGTTCAGGTAACAAATGATGCCAGCAGAATTTTTATTACAGTAATCAATCTAAAGGGCCTTTGGGCCACTTTTAATATTTTTATGTTTTTTCTTCTCTAAGATCAATGTCATTGCTGTGGGACATCCCTTGGAAGAGGTACCACGGGTTTGCTGCATCAGAGCTTGAATCATAATTCAGATAAAACAAAAGTATTGAACATCTCTCCTTGCTTCAGTGAAAATTGAAATTATTTCATGATATAAAAACAGTAATAGTGACCTTTGAAATTATTTCATGATATAAAAACAGTAATAGTGACCTCTCCTTGATGTCAGATAAAGACAGAAGAACCAGAAGTGTTCTCTGATAGTTGTTATGGGATACACTATTTAATTTTGTTCATATAAAATATATGCTGTTAGTAGAAGAGAATTTGCCATTAAACTTAGCAGTTACAGTTACATGGGGAAGCATGTAAGGCCCTAACCTAGACAGAAAAAAATCAGTGTAAAAGGGTTATTGCCTGCCTGAGGGAAGATGAAAAAATAATGACAAAACTAGTGGGCAAAAGCCCAGCAGCAAATGCCACCTGAATGTGAATGTAGAAAAAATAATCAATTGCTCCCACAAAAAAAATGGGATATTTCCATTCAAAAACTAATTGGAAGGTATATTGTTTATTTTTAGGTATCTGGCAGGTTTTTTGAGGATAGGAGCAGAAAAGTTAACCAATATCACACAATGAGTTGTGGTAAGACACTAAGTTCAAGACTAAGTGATTTAACTTGCACCTAAACAGGCAGAAACTTGAAAATTAACACCTAAAACTGAATTTCTTTTACTTTTGCAGCCTGCAGTGAGATCAACTCATACTCCCAGACCTGGAAGCACCTTTTTATTTCTGTCTTTACTCATTGCATTGTAAACCCTGTAGCAATTTGCACACCCTTAAGTAATTTTCTGTCTTCAACCCAGCTTTTCGTTACTCTGGCCCTACTTCAAGTGAAAGTAAATCACACTTAGCCAAATTTATTCTTCAAAGGTTAAGGAGTTTCTGCTGCTTATACTTTTCATACTTTTGTTATCAAGCCTTGCATGTGACAGACAAGAACGTGTAGAAAAATAATCTCATGTGATAAGTGTGCACATGCTCCTAAACTCAGGTTAAGGCCATAAAAATAATCTAAATTCAATACAATTCCCATCCTGAAAAGCTGAATTCCTTCAGAGTTTGAATCCTGCTCAACATTTTATATTCAATATAGGATTTAGTAAAAATGTAATGCAATCCTAATCTCCATGTCATGTCTTGTCATAACTGATATTAATATTCTAATTACATATTTTGAGTCATATCTTGTGATTTTAACCACTTCTGTTTCCAGTTTCAGCCATCCCTGAGAAAATATTCTCTGGATAATAGCTAGGGTTTATTTCAGGAAGGGAAAAAATGATATCTTTAAGATTCCTGCTCTTTTTCATGCTAGAAAAAGCTGAGGTGACTGAGAAGGACAAAGACTCAGTGTGTAATAATCCTATTTAGGTGACAATGGATGCCACAGGTACTGGAATGCAGCCAAATAATTGTGCCTATTATAGATGATACAGAGCCAATGGAAATTATTTGGGCAGACCAATTTATTTTTGATGCAAAGGGATTTGGGTCAATCCCTTAATCCAAATTTCTCTAAAAACAAGATCCCTGACAAGTCCCTGTGTTCATGTGCCTTCATATCTGTTACTAACTCATCCTTTTAAAGTCAGAGTCAACATGGAAGCCCCATTTCAGAATTTCAGGGGCTAATTGCAATCCAGAAAATCCATTTGATATGGTCAAGAGTCTTAATATGACACTTTAAAACATTATTTGAGACAGGGAGACCAGAAAGTGCCATCACACATTCAGAAATCAGCTGAGCCTCACAGTGGTTGATCTGTTCAGGAGAAGAAGGAATTTTATTCGTTTTTTATTGCTTTTTATCTTACACTTTTAGAGCATGATGGTGTTCACAGTAAATTTGCCGATTTTCACACCATCAGCAATGCAGCAGCTGCAAGAAATTTTCTATCTAAACATTTATGGGGAAAGATGGATAAAATTTATCTGTCTTTCCTGAGTTATTATCATTTTAGCTGATAGAGACCATGATCTTTGGGAGGCTGAAAACCATTCCTGTCCAGGAAAGAGCTCATGTGTGCTGGTCATGCCACTTTTCCACCAGGGCTGGGTGCTGTGGGACACTGAAAGCCAAGTGAAGCCTTCTCTCTGTTCATTCCTTCTCTCCACCCAGATCAGCTTGAATTCTTCTGGATAATGGAAGGAAACCAGTAAAAACAATTGTAAAATTGCTCTACATTGTAAAATGTTCCAAGGAATTGCTTCAGAAATGGAAATAAACTTCTCCCACCCTTAGGTCTGAATCCAGCCATTGCTGTAATTTTCACAGGTAGAAGAATAACAAGGAAAAAAAAATTAAAAACAACACCTTTTCTTTTAGTTATTATTTTTTAAATTGGAAGAGGAAAATCATGGGCAGTGAACTTCTGTACAAAAATTAGGTAAAGCAACATTTCATTTCATAAGGTTAGCTGTAATTACCTGGATTCAGCAAAGGGAAATTTCTGGTTTTTAATCAGATTTGGCAGCTCACTGAAATGCTCAGAAGAGCAGGGTGAAGGGTATTGATGCAATCATCCTCACTGGCTGGTACAGCTTAATTTTTTTCACCCCTTTCCAAGCCCTGATATTCCCATCAAAGAGTTTAATCAATCTTTTAATTTACAGGTTACAATTATCGTTGTGGAAAAAAAAACCAAACCAAAATAAAACAAAACCACTCAAGTACAAACACTGGGAATCCAAGTTTATTTTCAAGCTTCTGAATCTTTTACAACACTGGAAAGCAAAAACAGTCACACATAAGAAAATATTTAGCAATATTCCCAGCAGTGTCCCAGTCTATCTCCTGGGGGTCTCATTCTCATTCTGTGCAAATTTGGCTTTTTCTTTTCATTTCCTTGCAAAGAATTTCCTTATTGATTATCATACGGATTTTTTGCCTTCCCAAAGCCTCCTTTTCCTGCTACTTGGCTGTCAGGAATTTTCCAACCTGTAACTCCTGAAATAGCATCAGAACCTGAGAGTGTTTTATGGCAAAATTGAATCTTTTTGCTACTAAAGGACAATGTAAAAGACAACATAAAAGGGCATTTTGTGATGCAGTTCAGCAAGACTTTCGGCTTCTTATTTATATGTCTATGGAATCAAAATATGGAACAAAGCTTGAAGAAGCTGGATATACTCCAGCCCTCACTGAATTAGAATTGAATTTTGTTTTCCAGAGGTGGTCATCTGTGGTGTCACTGGAGGGTGCTACTGGTGTCCATTCATAAATACTTTGTGCTCTGTCAGCATCATATTTTCTGAAAAATTCTCTTGCCCAGGATTCTTCTCCTGGGAAGCTGAGAAGCCTCAGAGAAAAAGGAAAACACTAATATCTCATTTGCTTCTCCTGTGTTTTGCTGCTTTGGAATGTGGTTTGGAGATTGTTTACTCACAGGTGATTGTTTGATTGGTTTCATGTGAATTGATTTAACTTAATGACCAATCACAGTTAAGCTGTGTCGGGACTCTGGAAGGAGTCGGAAGTTTTCATTATTGTCTTTTAGCCTTCTGTCTGTATTCTTTCTCTATTCTTAATATAGTTTAGTACAGCATTCTTTAATATAATATAGTATCATAAAATAATAAATTAGCCTTCTAAGAGCATGGAATCAGATGCATCATTCCTCCCCTTGATGGGGGACGCCGAAAATACCACAGTGCTCTATCAGTGAAAGTGTAGAAGTAAACTAGAACACGTGATTTTTATGTTTGCTGTGGTGCAGAGTTATCAGTGAGAGGATTATTTTGTTTTAGAAGATCAGTCAGGGTTTAATCTGTCCTGCAGAAAAGCCCCATGATCAGAATTGGAAGATGCTCCTCCAATTTGCTCAGGACAGACTGCAATAGTTACGTTTGGTAAAATTTTGTTTGTTTGGTTGGTTTTATCCCCTCCAGAGCCTGAGGCCATTTTCAGCAGACAGATGTGGCCATTTTCAGCAGACAGATGTGGCCATTTTCAGCAGACAGATGTGGTCATTTTCACCCCAGAGCTGGAGGGCACTGTCCACCTGGTCCTCCTCCACACTGGCACCAGCCCGTATCTCTTCCCGTGCCACCTGCGGCCAATTTCCGTTTGCACCTGAGGAACAAAGGAAAAACCTGTTTGGTGCTTGAATTCTGCTGGGGAGCAGACAGTGGGAAAGAAGCAGGACAGAAAGAGGGGCTAGAAAAGAATAAACCTTTTAGACGTCTCTGACCAAGTTAGTTTCCTTTTTAGCTGGTAGAGAGAAGTAGAATCCTGTCTCAGCCTGGCCATCTTTCTGCACTGATGAAAACTTCTCCTGAAGTTCTATCAGTACCAAGCTTGAGGTCTCTAGCACTATAAAACATTTTCTCCATTTCTAAAACATCTGAACTTTTTTCCTATATCTTCTCCCTTTTTTTCTTTAATTTTTCTATGAATATTTATTCTACCATCGATCTCACCAACATAGCCTACACAATGAAATATATTTTCTCCACATTGCCTGCTCTTTCTCAGTTGCTAAGGGATGTTGTCTTGGTTCCATCTGCTTCTAGAAAAGTATAATCAGCAGCAAGTTTCTTAATCAGCGTTCTCCAGTTTGTGGCTGGGAAATAATTCTGCTTTGGCATTTGAGATGATGAGGGGAAAGGCAGCAGCAGTCAGGAGAGGTTTGCTGTGTGTTGTTGACAGCTGTGTCATTGTATACTGGCATGGTCACAGGAGCACAGAGAGGGTCCAGGCCACCCACCAAAGCCTCCTGTCACATCTGATTCTTGTTAGGAATGTGCCTCCCCAGATGTTTAATAGGGAGGGAATTTCTGTATGGAAGTGCTGTGTGTCTGGATGTGTAGCTATGGTCTGTGGTTAGAAGGGATTAGGGTTATTAATAAACTAATGACAGGAATTTTATCTAAACACAAGCATCATTAGAGCAGACAGTAATTCATGGCCATAAACTCAACCAAACGGCTAAGAATGTTAATATATTAAAAAACATTTAATTTAATATTTCAGAAATTTCTGATAGAATTCAGAAAGTTTGGCCCATGGCACATGTATGTGATTAAATACTGTTTGAAAGCTCAATCAGCCCTTGAATTTAAACTGGAAAATGAAGGTTTAGCAATACAGTCCAGGGAGAGTGATCAGGGGCAGGATTCATCTCCTAAACACATCTTTGACACTCCAGGGATGCCCTTTCTGGGGAGAAGGGTGGGCAAATATGGAACAGGATTCTCCTTTTCAGGAGCTGCAGACAGAATCAGCAGAGTGTTAGTCTGAAACTGAATCTCAGTCATATTCCAAAGGAGCAATCTCAGCTACTCTGGACTCAGAAAATGAGGGAAAATTACAGAGTTTCACCATATTCTAAAATTTGGAGGATATACTTTCACATATTCTAAAATATGGAGGATATACTTTCATGTTTTCTGTATATTTCCTTTAAGATGCATTATTATCACATCAAGACTGTGTAAATGGACCTGGACACCAAGCTAAAAGGAAAGACTTCTCTCCCATCAACAGTAAAATTCTGACTTATACATTCTAAACAAATAATCAGATTTACCAAAATGAAGAAATATTGAGATGCTTCATGAGACTATTAAAAATACTAAAAAAAATATTTCACTATTGAGCAAAGGTATGCATTTAAATTCTTTCCAATTTAAACATAGACCTTCAGTAAATGGAGCTCTCTCTGTACCACTGAAGCAAGTTGTATTTTCAGATCTGGACTTAGCAGGGGTTTTCCAAGCTCTGCTATAGGACAAAACTGTGCAGAAAGGATCAAAAATACTTGACAGAATAGCAAAGTAGTAAAAGTTCATTTCTCCACTAGATGGCTTCATTCCCATGAAGATCATTGAAATGAAATTCATCAACCTTGTTGCCCATGTAACAGTCAAAAGAAAATGAAAGGTTTGGTTATCTTTTGTACGAAACTGATTGTTAACTATATATTTGCCACTGAAGGCAGTATTGTGGAAAATATATCTGATATTTTCTTACCTCTTGGTTCAGGAAACAGTAGAGAACTGCCACAATAAACCCCTGAAAAAGATCAGAAGAAAAAGTTTAACACAGTCTGAAAAAGCCAGTTAAATTATCTGACTTCATGGTATGCGAATTAGTGAGTATCACTGCAGTGGGAGATTGCTGGAAGTTGAAAGATAATTTATGGATCTCCAATAAAGCTGAACAGCTTTAAAGAAAAACACCTGGCATTTCATCAAAATCAGGCGCATGCTGTGAATTCACAAATGTGATTGATGGTTATGGAAGTGTGCTCCACTCTCCAGCCCAACACACTGACAGCTGATTCTTTATGCACAGTAAAGAAAGTAAAACAGACATTGCAGAAGGAGATCCATGGATGGAGCTCACACAGCTCTCCAGCCAAATTCTGTGTCTCTGTGTACTACCAGATGAGATACACCTCTGGCTTATTCAATGTATTTGTTAAGATTCTGAACTGAGATAAACCCAGGACAAATCCTAGGAGGTCAAAGGATCTACATGACCAGATCCTGGCTCAACACCTCAGCCTTTTATTCCATTAAATTATTCATTAACAATTCATTAACTCAGTGAAGGTTCTCTCCCTGTACAGAAGGTTGGGATTGATGAACAGGGTTTGTTGGGACTGACACAAAGGACTCAATCCTCAAGAGGAAAATAAACCATCACAAAACTCATGGATTGTTGGTGATGCTCCCAGAGAGCCATCCCATGATCAATCCCATGGAACCACCCAGGGAGAGATCTGTTCCCTGGGGAGGTTTGGAGGCATTCCCACAGCTGCTGCTTTGGACTAGGTTGCAGCAGGTTTAGAGAACAGGAGGGACACAAAGGAAAATCGGATCCTGCCCAGCTCGTAACTCAGGCAGCAAACCCACCTGGAGGGGACACCAGAGCAGGAATTTTCTCGTTGGCATCAAGCTCCTCAAGCTGTCCATGCCCTGTGTGTCAATCTAGAGCAGTGGGGGCCATCAACCCAATATTTGCAGGAAGGGAAGGGATGTGGCATCCCTTGGGACAGCAGCCTGTGTGGGGCTGGTACACGCACCAGGCACTGCTTGATGCTTAACTATCAATTTATTATTTGACAAAGAATTAGCAAGGCAGCTGGATATACAACTTTGATTGCCTCTGGAGGATTTAAATCAGCCCAAGTCAGCTTGAATTTGTTAGGGAAGGCAGGGAAGGCAGGTGGACAAGTACTGGTAGCAAGGAAGATTTTCCACGCTTTACTTTGGCCCTCCATCCAATTTACACACTTATCTGAAATTTTGTATTCCAAAATCTGGAGGCCAGCCTACAGCCAGACAGTTTTTGTCACCTCTTCAGACATTTTAACTCAGCAAAGAACCAGGAACTTTGTGAACAGACACTGGTTTCAGAATCTGAGTATTCTTTCTGTGCAATTCTTGTTGTCATGAAGACACAAGGCTAAAATAGAAAAACTGGTAAGAAGGAACCAAAGGATCTGTGGTAATTTTACCTGAAAAGATCCAATGCAGAGCTCCAAATAAAGCCGAACCCCCAGGCTGGTGTATTCTGGGAGGAAGTTGAAGACAATGTAATGGGTTCCAAATAAAGGAATTAGAAGCAGAGTTGACCTTGACAGACGTCTAGCACAGGAGATGAGAAGAAATAAGGTCATATTATTTTTCTGAGTAAAAACTAAGGCACTCAGTGTGCCACAGTAGTGAGCAGAAGCGAAAAAGAAAGTAGTATATATAAAAATATATATAAAATAGAAATAAATATGCTGGCTTCCTTTACAGTTCTCATACAGAGAAAGGCAGCTACAGTGGGTATTTTTTCCTGTCTTAAATAAGAGGTTTAATGCCAATTCAATTAATTTCGTTGTCTCCCCATTGATTTTAGTTAGAAGGCTGTGCTGATCTGAATACATCCCATTGGCCAATATGAGGTGATATAAGTCTCACCCTTTAACCAATGTCCTTTGGAATGGGATAAGGTTGTGAATTCTAAAATTTAATATCAATTAAACTGATCCTGTCTGTGACACTGAGCAAGTACTTCTCTGTTTAGAAAAGACAACAACTTTTTATTATTAATATTGAAATAATTGATTTTTTAAAAAATATTTCATACATTACCTGTACTGAGAAGAATTATTGAAGTTGATTTGTCTAGGGTCTAGTTTTTTCAGCAAAATTCTGATGATGTTGATAAATAGGACAAAATTGACCTGTAATTGACATAACATTTGAGGGGTGGGAGGGAAGAAAAGAAAAATTTAATTTCTGATATAAAACTTTGCAGTGAAAATCGGGTAAGTTTTATTTTTTTATTTTAGTTAGAATGTAATTTCTGCAGTTTTAATGTAAGGTCCTTAATGCTATTCCTGCTGGCGGCATACAAGTATTTAAATAAGTTTCATTCCTGCTTGAAGAAATGGCTGAGGGTGAAAACTTGGGACTTTCACTTTGTTCAGCAAAATATTTTCATCAACAGCTTGTGTGACTCTCTTTTACCTTTTGTAGCTCAAATCAGTTGGATTCTCCTTAAAGACAAACATTGCATTAAATTCTGGCTGATCTCTCTGGGCACTATTAGAATTATTCTGCTTGAATACCTCCACAATGAGACATTTCCATCTGAGCTGATCACCCTGTTCTGCCTTTGCAGTCAGTGGAGAACCAGCCAGGAGAGTGAATGGAGCTTCAGGTGGGCTTGGGGGCAGCTCACCACCCTCCCAAGGTAGATATTTGTTTTAAATTGGGTGAATCTGAAACTTGCCCAAAGTGCACATTTCCCTTTGTTGGCTCTGAAGGAGCCCTTGAGGAGCATTAGCTCAGCTCCAAAGCAGTCAGGGTCAATCCTAACTTGCAAATCAATTCTTTTGCAGTTGTAATTTAGCACAGCTTTATGCAAAGCCTGTGAGGCTGCTCGGTTTTTCATGATCAGAGGGATTCTCCCCATGCATTTTTGGAGTGTCTGTACACCCCAGCTCTTCCTTAGGTGAGGCTGAATGTTTAATTTTGTCTAAGAATTTCCTCATTTTACCAGAAAGTCCAACGTCATTCTGTCCATTAGTGATGCTCTATGTGAATTCCAGCAGAAGAAACAACAGAGGTAGAAGGACATGAAATATTTTATTGAAACACAGCGAGGTCTGGCCAGAATTCAGATTGAGATTCTTCACTCACATTGTTTGTGTGTATCTTTAAGGTCCCTTCCAACCCAAATTCTGTGATTCCATATCCCTCATTTGCATCCATCTGTCCTCCAATTAAATTAAGATTTTTATAGCTGACCTTAAGGTCATCCATTAACTGCTTTCTCAAACACTGCTTGGCTTAAATGACTTGTGAGAGTAAACATTTATGATGATCATTTAAAGCCCATCAGTTTATTCAGTAAATGCCAGGCTCAAGAGCTGTTATCAGTTGTCAGCTCTGAACTAAAACCTATTTCCCTTGACAGTTTTGTATTAAAATTTATGGCTGATTCTGAGCTCTTGTGCTAAAATTTTGTTTTCAAATATAAGGAGTATTTCATCCACTCACTTGCTATTAGTTTCAACTAAACTGACAATTCTAGGAAAGTTTCAATTTGTTTGAAAGATGAGCTTTTTAGTTTGCATTGGACTTGAGCAACTAGCAGCAAAAATTTACCATTCCTGTTCCTACAACTCAGCAAAGAAACTCAATTTTAATTCAAAAGCCTTTTTTTCTTCTAAGTAATATCAGCCAACTCAGAAGTACCTACCCCCACAGAAATGATAATTGGTCCTTTGATTAGCCACCAATAAGGAGAGCCTTGATTAATATCCCAGCATCTGCGAACATGATAGTAAGTTTAGAAAAATACATGTATGTAATCACTGCAATCAATTGAAAATATAACACAAGAATATAGAATAATTTGGGAAATAATGACTTACGCTGTGTCTTCAAAGTAGAATTTTGTCAATATCCATATAAGGGTGAAAAGTGTTGGAAAACCTGCATTTTAAAATAAGGTATAATTAATCCAAGCCTTGTCCACTGAAACTCTGCTGCAATGATACAGATCAGTCATTTCTGACAGCTGGAATTATCTTTTGGGGTTAGTTGCTGTAACAGGAATTGGTTTAAATATGGTCCCTCTTGTATTGTTTTATATTGTTTTAAATGCAGTCCCTAAAACACAAAAAAGTGATTCTGTTTATTGAGTTTTCAGGCCTTTCTTAATCTTTGATGGCAACAGGGATGGATTTCCCTCCCTGAAGCAACAAAAAAATCCTCTGGCCGTAGAGGAGCGCTCTGCTCTTTCCTCCCCACAGCAACTCTCTGTGGGCACCCACTTGGTTTCAGGTTTCTAAGTCTGAACAATTCAATTTATTCCAGACAGCAACAAAATCAGAGGGGAGATGTTGCTGTTTCACTGCCTGTCCTGTTATTTAACTTCATTCATATGATAGCTCAGTGCAAAAAATGGGCTGTAGAAATACCAGGAATAAAAAAAGTTCCTGATTAGGGAAAACAATTCCCTTTCCAACCTGTGTAACCATTCTGCACAAAGAGAACAAGGCACATTGGATTCTGGTGTTTGTGATAATTCCTTAGAGGTGTTTTCAGTGGGGTGAGGAAAGTTAAGACTGGAGGATATCTCTTTGTGCATTCTCAAATATAACTGATTTTCCACCCCTTTCACAGGGGCTTTATTGCCATAAAAACAAACAAACAAACAAACAAAATAAACACCAAAAACAAAACAAACAAACAAAAAAAAACCTTGATTGCTTCTGGCTAGTATGCACATTAAAATAAAATAGAAGCAACACCCAGGTTAGGTTCTTTAGTTAGATCAACTGGGTTCCACATCCAGTATTTTTAATGGGAATGGATCATGGAATCATAGA